GCAAGTATTTTATTGAGTATTTTTGCGTCAATGCTCATAAGAGAGATAGGTCTGAAGTTCTCTTTTTTTGATGGGTCTTTGTGTGGTTTAGGTATCAGGGTGACTGTTGCTTCGTAGAATGAGTTTGGTAATGCACCTTCTGTTTCTATTTTGTGGAATAGTTTGAGGAGAATTGGTGTGAGCGCTTCTTTGAAGGTCTGGTAGAATTCCGCGCTGAAACCATCTGGCCCCGGGCTTTTTTTGGAGGGGAGACTGTGAATGACTGCTTCAATTTCCTTGGGGGATATAGGGCTGTTCAGTCTTTCTACCTGATCTTGACTTAATGTTGGAAGATGGAATCTATTAAGAAAATTGTCCATTTCATTTAGGTTTTCAAATTTTGTGGCATATGGGCTTTTGTAGTATGACCTAATGATTGTTTGAATTTCCTTTGTGTCTGGAGTTATGTCACCCTTTTCATCTCTGATTTTGTTGATTTGGATAGATTCTCTCTGCTTTTTAGTTAGTTTGGCTAAGGGTTTGTCTATCTTGTTGATTTTCTCAAAGAACCAGCTTTTTGTTTCATTGATTTTTTGAATAGTTTTATTTGTTTCTAATTGATTGATTTCAGCCCTGAGTTTGATTATTTCCAGCCTTCTGCTCCTCTTGGGTGTATCTGCTTCTTTTTTTTCTAGGGTTTTCAGTTGGGCCATTAAGTTGTTTGTATGTGATGTTATGAATTTCTTCTTGCAGGCACTTAGTGCTATACATTTTCCCCTGAGCACTGCTTTCAATGTGTCCCATAAATTTGGGTATGTTGTGCCTTCATTTTCATTGAATTCTATGAAGTCTTTAATTTCTTTCTTTATTTCTTCCTTAACCGAGCTGTCGTTGAGTAACAAGTTGTTCAGTTTCCATGTGCATGTAGGCTGTTTGTTATTTCTGTTGTTGTTGAGGTCCAGCTTAAGTCTATGGTGGTCAGATAGAATACAAGGGATTATTTCAATCTTTTTGTATCTGTTGAGGCTTGCTTTATGACCAACTTTATGGTCTATTTTGGAGAAGGTTCCATGTGGTGCTGAAAAGAAGGTATACTCTTTTGAGTTTGGATGAAAAGATCTGTAGACGTCTATTAGGTCCATTTGATTTAGGGTCTCTGTAAGTGTTTTTATTTCCCTATTTGTTTTCTGTATAGTTGATCTGTCCCTTGGTGAGAGTGGAGTGTTGAAGTTTCCCACTATTAGGGTTTTAGGATCAATGGTGATTTAAGCTTTAATATGGTTACAGGTGAATTTTGATTGCTTTCTCTAATTCTGTGAAAAATGTTTATGGTATTTTCATGTAGATTGCATGAAATCTATGGATTTGTTTTAGGTGGTATATGTATTTTGAAAGTATTGGTTGGTGGTTTTCATTTTTTGTATATGTATGTGTCCTTTTAAATTTCTTTTTTAAAATTTATCTATTTTTTTATTAATTACAGTTTATTCATTTGTATCCCAGCTGTCGTCCCCTTCCTCGTCCTCTCCCAATCCTGCCCTCCCTCCCTCATCTCCTCCCATGCCCCTCCCCAAGTCCACTGTTGTGGAAGCCTTCCTCACCTGCCCTCTGACCCTAGCCTATCAGGTCTCAATCAGGACTGGCTGCCTTGTCTTCCTCTGTCATCCCTCAGGGGATGGTGATCAAAGAGTCATCCACTGAGTTCATGTCAGAGACAGTCCTTGTTCCCCTAACTAGGGAACCCACTTAGAGACTGAGCTACCAATGGGCTACATCTGTGCAGGGGTTCTAGGTTATCTCCATGCATGGTCCTTGGTTGGATTATCAGTCTCAGAAAAGTTCCCTGTGCCCAGATTTTTTGGTTATGTTGCTCTCCTTGTAGAGCTCCTGTCTTTCTATCTTTCTATCCTTCTCCTCTTTTATTAGATTCCCTGCACTCTGCCCAAAGTTTGGCTATGAATCTCAGCGTCTACTTCCATACCTCACTGGGTAGAGTCTTTCAGAGGCCCTCTGTTGTAGGCTCCTGTCCTGCTCCCTGTTTTCTCCTCTTCTGATGTCTGTCCCATTTGTCTTTCTGAGTGAGGATTGATCATCTTACCCAGGTCCTCCTTCTTGCTTAGCTTCTTTAGGGGTACAGATTTTAGTATGCTTATCCTATATTATATGTGTAATACCCACTTATAAGAGAGTATATACCATGTGTATTTTTGTGCTTCTGGATACCTCACTCAGGATGATCTTTTCTAGTTCCCACCATTTGCCTGCAAATTTCATGATTTCCTTGTTTTTAATTGCTGTGTAGTATTCCACTGTGTAAATGTACCACAATTTCTATATCCATTCCTCAGGTGAGGGACATCTGTGTTGTTTCCAGATTCTGGCTAGTTCAAATAAAGATGCTACAAACATGGTTGAGCAAATATCCTTATTGTGTACTTGAGCCTCTTTTGGATATATGCCTAGGAGTGGTATAGCTGTTTCTTGAGGAAGCGCTATTCCTAGAGGTTAAACAGCAACAAACCAAGTAATCCAATTAAAAACTGGGGTACAGAGCTAAACAGAGAATTCTCAATAGAGGAATATCGAATGGCAGAGAAACACTTAAAGAGATGCTCAACATCCTTAATTATCAGGGAAATGCAAATCAAAACAACTCAGATTTCACCTTACACCCATCAGAATGACTAAGATCAAAAACTCAAGTAACAATACATGCTGGAGAGGATGTGGAGAAAGGGGAACCCTCTTCCATTGCTGGTAAGAATGTAAGCTTGTACACCTTTTAAATTTCTTTACAGTCTTTTGTAGTTGCCACTATAGAGATCGCTCACTTCTTAAATTTAACCCTAGGCATTCTACTTCTGTGGCATTTATACATATAATCAACTTTCTTTTTTTTTCATTCATGTTTTCATTTCACAGAAATAAATTTTTATTTTTTGTTAACTTAATTTAGTAATTCTGTATTATTATAAGTTGCCTAAGACATAGTTAACAAATAACATACATGTGTGTGTCTGTTTGCTTGCCTGTCTGTCTCTGTATGTATATACATTCATGCATAGCATGACGTGTGGGGCTGGAGAGGGAACTCAGGTCATCAGGGGGTGGCAAAGAGGCCATTACCTGCTCAGACATCGTGCTGGCCTGCTGGGCTCTGGGCCATTTCCAGTGGCTCTGTGAACTCTTCAGGTCTTTCAGTGTAGAGCCTGCCGTGAACTCTCTAGGTGAGCTAACATACAGAGAACGTAGGCTTCCTTCCTTTTCGGTTTATATTTGGAATAGTTTGAGAACTGTATTTCATTTGTTTTGAAATATTTTTTAGAATTCAGCAGTTAAAATAAAGTAATGGCCTTTGCTTTGTTAGGGAGACTCCCTTATACATCCTGTGTGCTCAGGGGCTGTCTTAGGATTTCTCCTGCTGTGAAGAGACACCATGACTACTCCAGGTCTTGGAAAGGATAGCATTTAATTGGAGCTGATTTGGGTGTTTTTCTAGTCCCCCAAGATGAGGCTCTGTGAAGTAGGAATTAACTACTGCCAGCTGTTTTTGTTCTTTTTTTGAAGATGTATTTGTTTTATGAATATGAGTGGTCTATCTGCATTTACATATGCCAGAAGGGGGAACCAGATCACATTATGGACGGCTGTGAGCCACCATGTGATCGCTGGGAATTGAACTCAAGACCATTGGAAGAACAGCCAGTGCTCTTAGCCATTAAACCATCTCTCCAGCCCCAATTTGAGAGAGAGAGACTTTATGATTTCTTTTTCATTTCCTCAGTGACCCGTTGGCTGTTCATGAACAAATTGCTTAATTTTAATGTATTTTCTTATTTTTACTTATTGATTTCTAAATTTTGTTCTGGGATTTCATGGAAGATTTGTGTTAAGATTTATGTTTTTAAAATCTTGAGACTCATATTGGTGCCTAACATGTAGTCGAGGTTGGAGAATGTCTCAGTGGTGGTAGATGTGTTTTCTACAGATGCTACATGAAGCTCCAGTGATTTTTTTTTTTTTTTTTTTTTGAGGAAGTTTTATTCTGTAGTCCAGGCTGGCCTCAAACCCATAATAGTCCCCCCTTTTTAGCCTTTTGAGTACTGTGATTTTGGTGTGAACCACCATACTAGGCTACTCAGTGATTTTTTTTTTTCTTCAAATTGCCTTTCTGTGTGGATGTTCTGGGGGGCGGGGACAAACACCCAAGAAGAAGAAACTTATGAGGAGTGTGTGCTGGCTACAGTTTGAGGGGCACTGGCCACTGGTCCACATGATGAAGCGGAGAGACACGAAGATTGGAGCTGAGCTTGCTTCATTTTTTTATTTAGTCTTGGACCCCAGACCGTGAAAAAGCACTACCAACATTCAGGGCGAGTCTTGTCAGTATTTCTGTATACTCTCATAGACACAGACAGAAGCATCTTTCCCTGGTGATGCTAACTCCATTCTAGGTGCCAGTGGAGCTTAAAGGCCCCTTTTCCTCCTTGAGCTCATACAGAGGCCTTCGTAGTTAGGACTCCCTGTGTAAACTCTTCTCCCTTCTGTGTGGAAAGGAACAAGGTTCAGATCTTCACCCTGCTTCTCAGTGTGTGCAGCTTGCTTTGCCTTCCCGGGTGTATCAGCCTCCAGGATTTCCTCTTTTCTAGTAGCTCACCTCTAGTGCACTTTGTAGTGCTCCGTCCTCACGTCCTCTTTCATCCGTGCACTGACTTAGAGGACCCCGCAGCTGAATGGCCCTGGGTCACTAGGTGCCCCTGGGTCCTGTCTGCCTTCAGCACTCAGTTGCTTCTCTTCTTTGAGCTTTTCCTTAAGTTTATAAACTTGTGCTGTTTGTTTTGTTTTCCTGTTCTTTAAGTGTACATTGGGAAGACTTTAAAAAATGAACAGTTCAAGTTCAACAATCTCAAGTGCTTTTTTTTTTTTTTTTTTAAATTTTTGGGAAGACTGTCCAGGTTATCTTGTTTTCCTTCTTGTCCTAATTATTCTCAAATATAATTTTTGTTATTCTCTTTTTTTAGGATTCAGCTTAGCTGCATTTAAAAGGAACAAGAGGAAACTAGAGCTGGCAGAAAAGGTGGAAACAGACTTCATTCAGCTAAAGAAAAGAAGACAATCAAGTGCAAAGGTCAGGAGATGTCTGAAGTATTTGCTGGTGCATAATAATGCTATTGTTGACCTGCCTTTAGAACAGTACAGTCCATTTGAAATACTATATGTGGCATATGTATTTTATAGCTGAGTGGAAGCTGGTGGGGCTCGTTAGGTAAATGTACTTACCACAGAGCCTGATGACCCTAGTTCCTTCTCCAGAACCCACATGATAAACGAGAACTGACTCCAGCAGTTGTCCACTGACCTTCACATGTGTGCTGGGACATTGACTGGAGCATGTGTGACTGGAGGATGTGTGACTGGACACATGCATGATACACATGTAAAATGTAATTTACAGAATAAAATTTGAATTGGGTGTCATGGTGCACACCTTTAATCCCAGTACTCTGAGGTAGGCAGATCTCTGAGTCTCTGAGTTTGAGGCCAGCCTGGTCTATAGAGTGAGTTTTAGGACAGCCGTGGCTATACAGAGAAAGCCTGTCTTGAAAATTCGATCATGAAAAGAAACAAGTGAAATTAATTTTAAAATGTAAACAAAAACATTTTAATAATATGTGTTTTAAGTTACTGAGTTGAAAATACCTTCTGAAACATAATTAGTGGAAAATTTAATAATCATCTTCTTGGAAGTTTTGTAACTGTTGAGGGATGTGGTGGCTCAGTGGGTAAAGACACTTGACGTCACCCTGATGACCTGAATTGATGGCCAGGGTCCACATGGTCAAAGGACAGAGAAGACACTGAAAGTTGTCCTTTGATCTTCACAATCATCCTGTTGTATGTGTGTATCCAAACAGATACAAATAAATAAACAGACATGTAAATGGATACATGTAATAAAATTAACTGTTGAAAAGTAAATATATATACATTTAGTTATTAGAATCATGCTTGGCAGTGGCTGAAAGTGTTTAAACGTAATTAAAATTGAATAAAAAAGAAAACCAGCTTTTTATTTTTATTTCATTTGGTTGATAGCCACAAAATGCCATGACTATTGTCTTGATTTGTTCCTTCCATGCTTTCTTTTGATGGTAGAATGAAGTTGAAAGCTACAGAGTTCCTCTTCAGCTTGTGGCTTTCAGGTTCGTTAGGACACAGCTCTTGATTGCTGTGTCAGGTCACATATTCCTGGGCTATACCTTACCTGTATCATACATTCTTTCTTCAGTGCCTCATGAGCTGGCTTATGGTATTTATCAAAGTTTTGTATGATTGTAGCAAAGCACAAAATAAACAGTCTTTCATTATAATAGGTATTTTCTCAGTATGTTTCCTTATAAGGATAATTAATCAAACAGCTTGGCCCAATTCTGCTCATATATCTCACAAAAATGGGTTTTAGGAAGCAAATAAATTAATATATAGATTTTGATGAAAATTTGTGTAGTTTGGTTTCTTTTTTTTGTGTGTGTATATGTGTGTGTGTTTCTGCATTCTTTGTAATGGCAGGGTGAAAAATTTTGGACTTTCTGTCCTTTAACAAAATCTGAGTATCTGGGTTTACTCATCGGTAAGCACCGAATGCAGGAAATTGAGTAGAGAGATCACAGGCTGTAGTGTGTAAACATGTCTCAAACACAAAATGCATGCAGTAGACAGTTTCTTCAGCTTTTGTATGTACTCTTGCAGCCCAAATCATATCAAGACACAGAACATTTCTGTTTTGGTTGTCCTTCAGTTAACTCCTTTCCTAGATAGTAGCCAGTATTCCATGTTTTACCGCTGTGGATGTTTTGTGTGGCTGTCACATGGAATGTGTTCTCCTCTCTGTACTTTTTTCCACAGGATATTTTTAGACGTCCCATCACTGTTTCCTTAAAAGAAAAACAAAACCCTACATGCACAGACTATAATTTGCTTATACGCCCTCCTGTTGGAGATTGGTTGTTTCTTGGTGTTTACTATTAGGCATAAAGCTGCTGTGAAATTCTTACAGAGTTCTTTTTTGTGGCTGTTAGCTTAGAATTTTATGCATAGAAATTTTACTAGTTTTTAGAGGCTGTCTTTCGCTTAAGGTCATTACCAATTCCCATCACTCATTTTTTAATTTCATTCAGAAAATGAAAGTGTAATAAGAAATAAGTAATAAGGTAATAAGAAAACAGTGCTGAGCAAAATGTTATTGTGAGATTTGACATTTTAGTGGACAGAAGGATGAATATATATATTTATTTATATATATATTTAATATAAAACTAAGGTTACTCTTTTTTTTAATCAATATATTTTTTTATTTTTATTATTAGTTACATTTTATTAACTCTGTATCCCAGCTATATCCCGCTCCCTCATTCCCTCCTTACCCCACCCTTCCTCCCTCATCTCCTCCCTGCTCCTTTCCAAATCCACTGATAGGAGAGGACCTCCTCCCCTTTCATCTGACCCTGGTTTATCAAGTATCTTCAGGACTGGCTGCAAAGTCCTCCTCTGTGGCCTAGCAGGGCTGCTCCTCCCTTGGGGTGGGGATGGGGTCAAAGAGCCAGTCATTGAGTTCCTGTCAGAAATAGTCCCTTTTCCCCTTACTATGGGAAACCAATTGGTTACTGAGCTACCATGGCTACATCCGAGCAGAGGTTCTAGGTTATATCCATACATGGTCCTTGGTTGGAGAAACAGTCTCATAAAAGACCCCTGTGCTCAGATATATTTGGTCCTTGTGAAATTCCTATCCTCTCCATGTCATATTAACGCCCCCTTTTTTCATATGATTCCCTGCACTCTGCCGAAGGTTTGGTTATGAGTCTTAGTATCTGCTTTGATACACTGCTAGGAAGAGTCTTTCAGAGGCCCTCTGCAGTAGGCTCCTGTCCTGTTACTTGTTTTCTCCTATGTCCAATGTATATCCCATTTGTCTTTCTAAATGAGGATTGATCATCTTACCCCATGTCCGCTTTCTTGTTTATCCTCTCTAGGTGTATAGATTTCATTATGTTTATCATATGTTGTAGGTCTATATAAGTGAGTATATACCGTGTTTGTCTTTCTCCTTCTGGGATACTTCACTCAGAGTGATCTTTTCTAGATCCCACCATTTGCAGATTTCATTACTTCCTTGTTTTTGCTGAGTAGTATTCCATTGTGTAAAAATACCACAATTTCTGTATCCATTCCTCCATTGATGGACATCTGGGTTGTTTCTAGGTTCTGGCTATTACAAATAAAGCTGCTACAAATATGGTTGAGCAAATGTCTTTGTTGTGTACCTGAGCAAATTTTGGGTATATGCCTAGCAGTTGTATAGCTGGGTCTTGAGGAAGCACTATTCCTAATTGTCTGAGAAAGTGCCAGATTGACTTCCAAAGTGGTTGTTTGCATTCCCACCAGCAGTGGAGGAGTGTTCCCCTTTCTCCACAACCTCTCCCGCATGTGTTGTTCCTTGAGTTTTTGATTTTAGCCATTCTGGTGGGTGTAAGGTAAATCTCAGTGTCATTTTGATTTGCATCTCCCTGATGGCTTAGGACATTGAACATTTAAGTGTTTCTCTGCCATTCTATATTCCTCTACAGAGAATTCTCTGTTTAGCTCCATACCCTATTTTTTAATTTGATTACTTGATTTATGGCTTTTTAACTTGTTTGGTTCTTTATATATTCTGGATATCAGCCCTCTGTCAGATATAGGGTTGGTGAAGATCCTTTCCCAGTGTGTAGGCTGTAGTTTTGTTTTGATGACAGTGTCCTTTGCTTTACAGAAGCTTTTCAGTTTCATGAGGTCCCATTTATTGATTGTTGTTCTTAGAGCCTGTGCTGTTGGTGTTCTGTTCAGGAAGTTGTCTCCTGTGCCAATGAGTTCTAGGCTCTTCCCCACTTTTTCTTCTACCCGATTTAGAATATCTGGTTTTATGTTGAGGTCTTTGATCCACTTGGAGTTTAGTTTTTACAAGGTGATAAATATGGATATATTTTCATTTTCTGCATGTAGACATCCAGTTGGACCAGCACCATTTGTTGAAGATGCTGTCTTTTTTCCATTGAATAGTTTTGGCTTCTTTGTCAAAAATCAAGTATTCATAGGTGTGTGGGTTTTTTTCTGGGTCTTCTATTCGGTTCCGTTGATCCTCCTTTGTTTCTATGCTAAGGTCACTCTTAAGTTTTGTTCTTTGTTATATTTTGTTAAGAAGGGAAAAAGAGAACAAGGTGATGTGATATAGTAGCTTAGATTTAAGAGTCTGAGGATAGAGTCCCTTCATTAGGATGACAGGCAGAAGTCCACATGTGAAAAATCAGTGAGTTTTATAACCAGTCAGTAGAACAGTGTAACACTGAGAATGAACTGCGTGTTCAGTACTGGAGAGTTGTCATGTTGGTGTAATGAGGAAGAGCGTCACTGTGCTTGAAGCGAATGGTCGGGGGAGGGTGCTACGGAACGAAGCTGAAGAGGCAGAGACAGGCATGACCCTGAAGGATGGGAAGAATGTGGGAAGGAGTGCAACTTTATTTTAACAGCTGACTTTTCGTGCGCTGCTCTGCTCCTTTCAGTCAGGTGCCTCAGTATCCTCGCTCTGCTCTTGGCTCTTTATTATTGAAATTACATACGTTGTTTCATGTTGAAGTTAAGAATAATGAGTTAAAAAAGAGAGTGGTCTATTTGAAAACTAAGGATTGTCTGAATATTTAGCGCTGTATTGGAAAAGTAAACTGAAAAAGTAGAAGTGGCTTGTAAAAAAATCGTTGCATACTGATTATGGATAAATGAGCTAGGAAGATTGAAAAATCATAAAAATATATAACTGTATTTCGAATGTCTTGTTAGTATCCTCATCTTGTTCTCTTTTACATATGTGAAACTCAAAATCATTCTGTTCATTAAGAAAAACAGTATGGAACATTGTCTGAGGACCTATATTCTTCTGGTTCTATCAGAAGATCAGGGCTCAGCATCTAGCTCAGTGGTAGAGCTTTTTCCTAACAGTGGAGGGCCCTGAGTCAGTCCTCAGCACCACAGAAAAAAGATGAAAACGTTAAGGTACTGTTGTTGAGTTTTTTATTACCAGCAAAATACCCAAAA